AAATCAGTCACACATCGAGCCATGTCGAGAGCCATGCTCGGAGTTTCTTTGCGCGACAAAATCCTGAACGGTCCTCGTTTTACCGAAGAACCAGAGCCACCGACATGGCTCTCTTGATTTGCAAGTTGAAGTGGGAATGGGCAGGCCTCATTGCTGTAAGAACTGGTGGAGAATGGGGAAAGAAAGTTCTCTTGTGTTGACCACGAACAGGAGGAACTAGCGTTGGTAGGCCCCTCACTAGTTGGACCGACGACATTGTGAGAGCACCCGGTGGATGCAAATGGCAAAGTGGCGTTCGCTGTGACATCAAGGCGTGGGAAGCGTTTGTTTAATATGGATCTCTTCCGGTTGACGACGATAGACGCGTTTCAGAAACAAAACGTCCGGCAATGATCAGTTAGGTCACTGAAATACTTTTTACGAGTTGAAATTGTACGAAACGCGGTTGCCTAGTCTATTGGTTGAGTTGCGCCCACCGAGCTATTAATAAAATTATTCACTTCGCAATAAATCAGTCAATATGTTAATTTCACACCTAGACCTCACCCGCCCAATCTGAATGAAAGCCGTAACCACGCTGGAATAAATTATGAGTGCATATTTTTTCAGCTCATATTTTGTTTCGGTACTTTGGCTGTTTACAATGTGCTCATTATTTCCTCACGAGCCGGGCCGCACTATCGTGATAACATCGGCATATTTTCCTTAAAAACTGTTCCACTCGCGGGTTCGAAAATGTAAATTACCTACGACAGGAGCGGCAGTCAATTGGGTCTTTTTTCCCAGTCAATTTGAATATTTGTCGTAAACGAAATATCCGCGCAATGAAAACGTAGTAAGGAATTGCTTTTTAAAAACGAACACACGTTTCCCGGTTCTCATCGGGCAATTTTCGCAACTACATTTTTGAATTATTATTACGTGAGCGTTTATTTCATTATAATTTGCGAAAAACAGAACTCATTGTAGCGTTCATGTATTTTATATTTATTTTTAGTTCATGCTGCAAAGAAAATATTTTTTTATATAGTGAACTTAACCAAGATAACCGACATAGCTCAGAGGATTAGCAAGCTGAAGTGGCGATGGGCCGGCCATATAGCTCGTAGAACCGATAACTGTTGGGGAAGAAAGGTTCTCGAGTGCCAGCCTCGTACTGGCCATCGCAGTGTAGGACGACCCCCCACTAGATGGAGTGACGACCTGTGCAAATGTGCGGGAAGTCGATGGATGCAGGTGGCTCGGGATCGTACTTCGTGGCAGTCCATGGGGAAGGCCTATGTTCAGCAGTGGACTCAAACAGGCTGGAATGATGATGATGATAGTGAACTTATGAACATTGTAGTTACAATTACACATGGCATTAAAAAGCGTCCATAACGCTTTTTAATACTTGATAAATTTTGCAACGCTCTAACCAGCCATTCTATTTTAATACGTGTTCGCTTGCAACAAACGCTTGTATTAGCAAAGTTCAAAAGCAATAATTATCACATTTATCGTATACATTGTAAATTGTCAATTAGCGTTACCTACTTTTAAATTAAATTGTCTGTAAGCTATATTACAACTGTGGTAGGGTCACGCAACAGTGTTCACTGTTGCACGAATAGGCAGGTCTGTCCGGGTAAGTACCACGACCTCACAGAAAACAGGGTATAATAGAAGTATTTAAAGGTGGTAACGCATTTACAACCGTACGGGTGTTGCAAATGTCCATGGGTGGCGGTTATCACTTAACATTAGGTGAACCACCAGCTCATTTGACACTTAATCACATAAAAAATTTTTTGATTTGAAAATTTTGGATGATACTCAAAAATTGAATTACTTTATTGCCGTAGAAAATCCTAAACAAATTTACATTGTAGATCCATTAACTCCATAACGTAGAGCTGTTGCAACATTTGAATAACTTAATTTCGTTCTACAGGATTTCAGAGGCGAAAGAAGCCGGACTATTATTTGTTGAGCAGACCGCCGGCTAGCTCGCGTTTAACCTTTGAGAGTGCACTAAATCCAAACCTACTTAAACTTTTCGATTTAGAGTGGCCGTCGCATGTGTGTTTCGTTTTCGCCTTAGTTTGCATGCCCATAAATTTCTATTGTTAGCTTCGTAAATAAGCGGCGGTTTGGAAATTCTGGATAAGAATCGAGATGTTTGTACCGAAGTGGGAAATGGTGCGGTCCGTGCGAATTGAGACGCAGTAAAAACTGGGCCCGCCGGTGAATACCTGGACGTTGGCTGCCGTAAAGCGTTTGACGAAGGTCGGTCCGCGCGCGTCCTTAACCCTTTGTCTCGCGAGAATACAATGGACAATCGGAATGGTGCGGCGATACGATATGGGATACCCCCCGCCCTGCCGCTACGTGACCAAATTTCAAACAGAATGTTTTGTGGTGCACGGGAGGATAAAATAAGTAATGTCATCTCCCGCCGGGACACGAAAGACGTGCTCCTTCGATTAGAGTTATATTACACGGTGTTTGAATGCGATACCTGCGAAAAACAATGAAAGGGAAGTGACTTGGCGTTTATTTTTTGTTTCCCGTATACGGCAGGACGTTCATAAAATTTCTTAAACAAAAATATCGTCGAAGTGACATAGGCAAATATCATGAATTTTAAGTATTAATAGTATGGTCCCGCCATAAAGTACTCGAAACATCATCACCAAAGTTGGCATAATTTTTCTTCTTACATAAATAAAATCAAACATTAAACTATGTGTGTTTTTGATGTTTTTTTATCTACTATAAATATCTAATTTAATGAAATACAATACGGAAGTAGAGAAAAGGAGAAAAAACAGACATAACCGAAGAAAACACGGGGATCCGGTTCAATTGAGACATGGTCAGTAGTAAAAGCGACTCGCGTTCAAGTTTCGACTGCGCCGGACGTTGCGCGGCTGCCTCCTTCACTCATTGTGGTTCCTTTTTTACCCTTTTGCCCGGCTGAGTGCGCTCCTTCTTTCAAATCGTCGTGTGCACTTTTTTGTTTGTACACCACTAGCACGGACATTTGCCTCCGACCCAGACACACTTCTCGGCCGCCCGGCCTTTTGAATACGAGTCAACTGCAAAAACATTCAGTTTCCATGTCCAGAATGACGTACACAGCGCAAGATTGCTTACTTCATATTAATACGTAATCCGTTGACATATTTGGTCGGGTAAAAGCGAAATGTTTTTCAGAATAAAAACTTCCAGATTAAAAATGTTATCAAAAACACTACGTTATGTAATTGTTTGATTAAACTAAAAACCCATCAATAGTACGTATTTCATTGTAATAACAGTCCAATCGCAGACTTAAGGATTCTTTAGATTCATTTTTTATTTTAATAACAAAGATCCCTCAGCAATGGTCGCATTATTCTCGAGGATTTTTCATAACGAACAAGTTTACCGTGATCCTTTTCAAAGACGGAACAAAAATACTGGACACCATAAAGACTATGCTCCCCTTTATGCGAGGCTTTACAGCGTGTTTATAATGGACGTAAATTATAAGCAAGTTAAGCTAAACATCGCCTCAGCATATGACAGAGTGGAACCATTATCAGTCAGACCTCTCGCTTGATCTAGCGTTCAACTACTAAACGTATTTTTCCCTTAACCCGGAAAAAACTGATACTACAAAAATTTCCACACGGCTTCACAACAGTCCCGTTTGGAACAAATTAAAGTGTAATTACGTGGCTAGTTATAAAAATTTTACTGCCGCGGCTCTATGGGAGAATTTTATAAGAAATGCGGAAAAAAAACTCGACCGTTTCAGAAGGCGTGCATGCGATGCGTGCAGCTGACGGCGAAAATATGGCATAATATGATGTCCCTAGCCTACTTCACGGTCGGCTGGACGGTAAGCCGCTGTCGATAACAATGAACGACTTAATGCCGCCGATAATCGATTTGGTTATTCGGAAAGTTGCGTGATTGACGCTTTTGATGACGTTTGCATTGGTCCGTGTACCCCCGATTTCGGACGCTGATCCCTTAGCACAACGATAAAAGATGTTGGAAGCAACGAACTTGAATGAAATTTAAGCTGGGATTAAGATAGACATAGCGTTTGATTGGTATTACTAGTATGAAGGATACAAAAATGCATTGAATTTGTATTGCAGCTGGGTTTGCCCGAACTCTAGGATTGCCTTAAATTAGATTGCCGCATTGCTTTGTTCGTTTTGATATAATATGTAGGTATATAATATGCGCTGACCTTTTATTATTTATTTAGATTCACATTAGTTTTCTAGTTCCAGCAGCTGTACTGATAATTTATTATGATTAAATTTTTATTACCTTGGTACTGATTTAGATCTGATTCATGGAATTTATTGAAGTAAAAAAAAAACACAAAAAATACTATTTTTATGTTTCTTCTACTTCACAAACTTTATTACTATATAAGTCTATAGTCCAAAAACTATTTCAAGATGATTCCATTACTTATTTATTAATGTTTTCCTCTCGCTTAGTCCTTGACCAGTACGGTCAGGTAACGCGTGCAGCACACGTGAAGCGGATTTTCATTAAGTGTGACGGGGCTTAATGATTCAAGTTTCCGCATTCATTAAGCTCTCAGCGAACTGTTTAAAGCCACAATGTTTAATGGAAGCGGTAAATTGCGCATTAATATTGTGGCTGGATGGCCGAAATGTCCACAGGCGTGGTCAAAGCTAAAACTGCAGCGCAAGTATTTTTTTCGTTTACAATCAAATTAGCTAACTAGTAAATATAGAGCTGATTCGATGCCATTATATTTCACCCAAATACTCGTATTAAAGACGCAAAAAGATTATTTTGATGCATGATTGATACACGCAGGGCACTGAAGTAAAATTTTGAAATAAGTACGGGGCGAAACTTTTTACAACAAACGATGAATTTCATATAAAATCAGAGTTTTTTTTTAAATTTTAACAATAACCTAACAGGAGTTTATAACAGACTTCCACTCAAGTTGCATTTTTTTTCCAAGTGTAACGTTAACTTGGAACTGTATTATATTCTCCTTTCATTGCTACGGGAAGCATGAAACAATGCCGTTTTCGCCTCTCTTTTCTTCGTGTAGCATTCGCTATGTATCCGTCTCGCGTGTTGCCCTTGAATACGGTGCACGGGTGTGCTGGTGATGGTGTTTAGATCTTGCACATGAATACATTGACTCACATGTGCGTACATTCACGAACACACTCATAAGCGATCGTGCATGTGTGCGGTTTTGAGGTATTCAGTATTATCATGAATGATGAATCATGACTTCGAAACGCGTCTTTCCGGAGCATCGCGTACAATTTTCAAGATATACATTATAGCTTTATGGTCTAATGTAATTCATTATAGAAATATAACAATAAATTGAAACAATGATGCAGTAAAAATTGTATAATGCCAAACCGCATTTAGTCACCGGATAATTTTTCTAAATGTAAAAAGAGTTATTAGTGATTAAATATAGCAATTGTTTAAGTCTCACCTCGCTTATGCCGCACGTGATATTTGCTTTTAGTCACGGGTCCAGTGCAGCAAGGTTGTTCGTAGTAGAAGTTGTAAGAGCTGTCAACCTCGGAAGTTTGCGGGAGCACTTGCGAATGCACCTGCCATTCGAGGCCGACGAGCGCGAAAATACACCACCGTATCAGAACCGCCGAGAAGCTCAAAGTCCGTGATTCGTACATTGTTGCTTTTACTTACAAAGGGAATATCGCTATTTAAAACTCCAAACAATGTTGTTTCTTAATCGCTTGTAGACATCTCAAAACTATTTCTGAGGGAAACGTGTTTTAGTGTCATACAACACGTCACAGATTATCTCTTACCGGCTTCAACCAAAAACTCCGACGGTAGCCATTTTGAATTTCATTTAAGCCTATTCTTTGCTTTCCTTTCAAATAAAATACAATCAATGTAATAAAAGAGAAAAAATATTGATGTCCCAAAAGTATAATTGAGTTATCCCTATGAATGAAATACACCCGTAGAAGTTTAATATATCAGATACAATTTATCACTGCACGCAATAGGAACACAAACGTTACAATAGTTACGAACACAATAAAACCAATAAGGGAATAATGGTGAAGTTAAAAAACATCAACATACGAGCGGCGTAATAAAATGACAGGAACGTTTCGGGGTTTACATTAAAAAAGTTCGGTGCTGCGGGGTCGTTAATGGCTCCGAAGACCATTACGAGAGCCATTGATGGCGTTTTGCACACCTCGCGTAATGGGACCGCATGGCGCTATGCAACAGGGCATGTTACATGTTGCAGCCCCGTTTTGACTTACGATTAGTCAACATTGTCAAGGCGGGTAAATGCTATTAAACATGTCCAAGATTAAAATTATTAAAACTTTCGTGAGACATTATTAATGTAATATTAAGACGGCTGCAACTAGTCGGTACATACATAGCCGTCTCAATATTACATGTCCAAGATTGTCTTGGACATGTTGTTGACAATTCAAATTAGTCAAGGAGTTATTTTTTTTTTCCAGTGATTAATTATTACTATTTTGCCGAACGATTGATGGTAATCAACGCTGTAAAAGCCAATCTATTAACTATATCCAGTGTGGTGTCCATATGCATTTCCTTTTTAATTTTATGTTGGTTTAACAATCTACTCAGGCGTCAATTTTACATACACAATTGGAAAAAAATATAATCACACCACATAAAAGATCGTTTTTCACATATAGAATGAAGAAGACAGGTAACATTGACAAGATGAGGATTGTGCATTTTTTTAACAACTCCAGTATTAATAAGCTTTACATTTTTGAATTTATATCGCGTTTAAAGAAAATTTCAAACAAATGATCCTGTGGTCTTAAGGTGAAAAATACTGTAAAGGTGGATGAGTACTGTTAAACATATTTGGAGAGGTTTATGCAAATTTTTTTAATTATTTAAGGTTTTTCATTTCTAAATTTACATCAACTATTTTCATAAAGAATTAGAAATAAAAAGAATATCAAGTTGTTAAATATGTTTTGATTCCCTGTCGTTTTCTCTTAGATTTTAAATTGCAGTACTTAATATTTTTGACCCGATCCTCCATAGTGCGATAGACCAAAACCAAACGTAGGACATCTAGTTACCCAGCATGAGGTTTTTTAGACTTGCATGTGTAAAATATATATATTCAATGCTTGTATAATGAATAATATATGTTGCTGATTAAGTTTCCCACTAAACGAAGTATTTCGATTTAAATAGACCTTCAACTAACGATACGAGGAACAAAAATAGGTTTCCAGCTAAATGTAATCCATGAAAACTTTCATGTTAAGTAAATAATCATCCGTCGTTGTCCAGTTACCCCAAGAGATATTATCGTGGCTATCGGCGAATGAATAAACGTCTTCTGCTAAATTTAACTCCAATCTTTGGGACGGGTCTCCGTCATGTGACCGATATCGCCGCCTCAATGCGGTCAGGGAAGCGCGCCGTGAAAGAGTCCAGAGATGAATTAAATTGATAAGCCCCGAAAAAGGGATTACGAAAGGGTTAGGGAGCCGCGGTTATCTTTATAAGACATGCGTGCGAAAGTATTGACGGGTGCACTGTGAAAACTATTTTGTGTTTTGATAATTTAGTAAGATTCGAAGAACGCTCAGTGGCAGCTTTCCAACGATTTTAATTGCATGACTACTATTTCACTTTATTATACGATTAAAAATTCATTATAAGGTATAATTCATTTTCACTAATTAAATTAAATTTCTTAAGCACACGAACAGATACTTCGGTAACTAAATTTAAAATGTTCCTTTTTGTCTTACAACAACCGTGTATACGAGATAAATAAAAGATTAACATTGAAATTACGTATAAAACATTTTCAATAAATAAACAATAGCCGGATGCTTTTCAGTTTTATTTATTTGTAGGTATACTACACACTCATATATCCGCATAACACGAGGGTTTCAAAATTTCAAATGATTAATGACGTCGGTCTTATCGCCCGGGTGATTTTTGTTCAATTGACGGTGTATCCTTCCGAGTAAATAAATATTTTAAATCTCCCCTTTCCAATGTTGCTTAAAGGATTTATCTAAGGGGCACACATTTCTTTGTATTTTATCCAATCGCCTAGATTGTTTTGACACCTTAAAGTATTTTTCATTATTATAAAATGAAAAATGAACGTGATATAATAGATGGAACTGTTGTTAAATAATACTGTTTTTTCCTGTTGAGAAATAACATGGAGCGGAACTATAACTCTAAATACTTCTTTTTAAAATTTAAATGACTAGCTCACATGTTTTTAACCTTTACGCGGCAGGCATGTAAGAAATCTGATTAATGGAAAAATCATGCGTGCTACGGGAATTAGACGTCCTGAGTTGCGGGCACCAGATCGTTAAAATATTATATAAAATTGCAAATTTCTTGTAACTGTGCGACTTCATTTTGTTAAATAAAATCATTTTACAGATTCCATTCCATATTTTTAATTTTCTTCATTCCAATTTTTAAGTCTGCATAGACCGTCTCGTGAATATTGAAATATGGTCTAGTTTCATAAACTGACATTTAATGAAGATTGCTACATATTGTTATTACATTTTTATTTCTATTATTTATAAAAAAAAAAACTGTTTTGTTTTTTAACTAAAACTTTTTTATACATATGTAAAGTGTTTTCAAACTTAATCTGTTATCGTACGGTTACCTCAATGTGAAATAAAAAATATACTTATTAATTTGCTACATGTAGCATAAAACGACGTAAATTGTAATATCTATTAACTCCAAATAATACAATAAGCCTTTTCTTTATCTTGACGGAAGCGAACTAAGTTAAAGGCATATTTCTGAGAAAGCCTTATGGTATGGACCTCTCCCGGGCGAGTTGTCGGATATCTGAACCGGTTTCATAATTATGTCTTCATTACCGATTTCCGAATAACTAGTTTCTTGTTGGTATAATTCGTATAGGTTTTTTAGAAGTTACATACCTATAAATGTATTGCACGAATAAAAGTTTAATTGACAGCTGGCAATTTTGTTTTCGAATGAATTGTTTGTAACTAGAGCAGGCATTTAAGATTCTTTCTTCTCAAGAATTTCGCTGGCTGTGTAATTGGCTATAAAGTTTCGTGTTTCGCCCGTCGCTTTGGAGTAATTTAAGCGTAAAAAGTTTAAAATTATTTCGTTAAATCTTAAGAATTCGCGCAACATTACTTTGTACGACTTCATTAAGCGCCTTTTAATCTCCCTTCATATCTGTCGATCTCGTTTCATTTCACAATTACACCGTTACTGCTGCCCATTGTGCGACAGGCTTCGCTCATTATGGACGAGGAATGTTAAGAAATTTCATCCGACAACCCATTGAGGCAGCCCTTCCAATTGTACGAAGGTGTTCCAATTGAATGGTGGGCGGAATGGGGGGGTACGAGTATAATGAAATTTCGCGTCGATAAAGACCACTGAGCTCGTAACACAATACTTGATGTTTCCTCCGCGCCGCGTATCCATGTCACGCCATTAAACCCCATAAAAATATCTGCCGTCACATCTACGGTGAGCAAATTATACACGCTTCTGATATTACGACGCCTTATGTATGGGCTGTGAGAGCGCCGCGGCACGTTTGGGGAGTATGAAAGGAAAAAAAATTAGTATGCATTTATAAGATAAACTATTTCACGCATTTCAGCATTGAATATGTTTTAATCCTGAAACCAGTACCTCTCTCTCCCTTTAAGCTTATTTTCATAGATCGGAACAAATTAATCTATTCCGTGGCTATGTAAGTGACCAGCAGAATTTAAAATAAAAATCAGACGCATTAAATATTATTTAACAATGTACATAAAGTATCCACGAAAACAAGAAAAAGTTTAACGATAATTCAAAATGCTTCGTAGATTTGCAGCAATTACTACTCGATTGACGTTTAAAAATTACAATATTAGTTTGAGGGCTTGGTAAACAATTAATATGTTGTTTTACATATAAAACTTTGAAACTTGATCTGAAGAGTATCTTAGGACAGATCTATGTCCAACAATGGGCTGCCGCTAGTGATGATCATTAATATGAGACTGAGCCGTACTTTTACATAAATAACGAAACTAAAAAAAAACTAACACGTAATATTAAAAGAAATAATGAATTTAATTGATATTTTTCAGTTATCGAGGTGAACAAAGAAGTTTGCATCTGTTATTATTTGTTTCCACATATTCCTTTTTTACCTGGGTTTCGTTTGCCACGTATTGGAGTGTTATTCCATGAACGTCGGATACCTTAAATTGCCCGCCTTTTGTAGCTAACTTAATTTGAATTTCGATTCATATAGAGTTTTGAAAAAATGTTTGAGTATTGGAACCAAATTCACTTACTTCCTTTTATTAATAATTAGTTTGTGAATCATCTATTCGTAAAGATCATGTCAACGTTTAACCACTTTTTTAGATTTTTTATTTATTCCGATTAAATCCGACTGTGATGAACTTTTTCTCGGTGAATTTCTAATCTGAGTAGATAAATTGCCTGCCCAAAAGAGATACGCTGCGGTCTTTGAAAATTCACTTTGAATTATTAATACAATACTGTAACGGTAGCGAATTGTAAGCTTCTTAGCAAGGGAACTGAATAAATATTGTTTGGCGGATAGAAGCAAAGGGCCCCAAATAGAATTTATACATCTTTA